TATCATGAACGAGGACTGGCACCTCAAAAACGACGACGACGAAAAGGAGGAGAGTAGAAGGCAGGTAACAGTACCCCGGGTACCATTAGCACCCAACGAAACGAAAGACAAGTGAAGATGCGTTGTTGGTTGTTCGGAGAAGATGGAGCTGAGACGTCGGGGGAGGAGTGATGTCAGGCGCTAGTCGGCATCGCACAGTGTTGGCTGTTTGTTGGCTCGTCCACGAAGGCAAGGCTTGGGGTGACGCGCGATCATTCGACTTGGCGATATGGAAATGTCCGATGTCGTCGACATGAAACGGGAAGGGGATTGGAAGGACGTTGACGGGAGCAAACACGACATAGGCCGCTAAAAGGGAAGAAGCGAGGAAAGGAAGCAGTGACAGGCAAGACAGTCTGACAGAGGGACTGAAGAAGAAACAGCCTAGACTAAGAGAGGGGGGATCGCCGCCAACATGGACGTACATGCACTCAGCGATGGGGGGGGCACTTCAACCAGCCGCAGGGTTGCAGAAGAAGGGAATCCATTCCTGGTCCACGATACTCGACGATACTCCGGGACGGTGGGATTCACAAGCGGGCGCAAAGGAGGCTGAAGTGGTGGTGATTGGTGATTCTGACGTTGGTGGAGGTGTTGAGGGTGTCGAGGGGTCGGCAATCGGGGAGACGGGACCTGGAGCGTGTCAAAACTGTGTGTTGCCCGTGAGAAAGAAACACTTGGAGATGGAAAATTGTTAGTGCACTCCCAGGGGCAGCCAGTGAGACCACTCGGACAGCTGCTCCTGAATCCACTTTGCTGTGCTCGCAGCTGGAACCCTGTGTCGATCAACTGGCAGCGCCCTGAGGCTTAGGTGGTACATGTGAGAAAAAGGTCCGGACACTCGCTGCCGTGTCTGGTTTGGTAGAAGCGAATCCGGACTTTTTTTTTTTCACACCACCTGAGGCTAGTCCAAGAGGGGGCAAGACCACGGATTTGGTTTCAGCAAGATGCTCGCCTACACTTACCCGCCATGTACACCTCTATTAGTGTACACTACAGTGGACAGGCAACTGTAGGTAACTTTTGTTTACTCGCCAATGTCAATCCATCCCCGAGATGGGAGTCAATATCAAGAATCCTTCCCATACCTTATCGACTCCCCAGAACCCGAGACCGGTGATGCTTTGCCCTGTAAGCGCATTCTAAGAGGTCCGCGGGCGGCACCTGAGCGGGACAACTTTCGACAAAAGAGCGAGACCCGACGAGACCGTGCTCCTATTGCCACTTGTCGTCCACAACAACCCGTGTTGCTGCCCGATTCCCATACGTGAAGGATTGAAATAACCCATCTAGAAGGGAACAGCCTCGATCTCACACCTCGAGCCTATAAGTAGACATCCAGGGAGGCTGAGCACCTCAATCACTAGGGCTACCCATCTATTACCGCTACACACATGGCTGATGTGCATCGTTCCAGCGTCATCTGGATCATAGACGGTTGCATAAATGACTCCATATAATCAACTCTTCGGCCGACTCCCAGTATTGCGGCTGTTTGGGAAGGGCAAGCTAAAGAGACATGGTCCGAAGAATCATGGGTTCGGCGTATCTCGACATTGCTGACATTTTCTCTTAAAGCCGTCGCACAACAGCCACACTTTCTGCCGTTTAGCAATGTCCTGTACCTCCACGTCCCGGATCTCCCGGCGTCCGATGGTCGATATAGTCCTGTAGTCCTTTCGAAACCATCCGTCGGCGGCTTGTCGGCCCCCGTCGCAACTTGTCACGTTGGCACGGAACGCTGTGTAACTGAACAAACACCATTCTATGGGTCCGGCCCTTGATCTTTCCGGGAGTATGGTCAGCCTTGGTATAACCAACAACCACCGGCGTTAATGAATTTGCCGTTGGTCCCGCGCTTGTTGACCAATAAAAGCGTCAGTCACGGCAACTAATGCAAGTAATATCGTCTCGCGTATTGGTGTCTCATTCCTCGCATCTCGTCATCACTCGTTGAGTGTTGTTTTACCAGCACCCCAGGCACCCCTTTCCCGGCATTCGTACGAGATACGACCCTTGACTATGTTGCAGCCAAGTTGACTTCCACTTGCCTGCTTGGTCTTCCCTTCAGGGCTCTTCCAAGGTCCGGGAGATGCTCAAGACCGAACAGGTTTGTAGCACATAACTACCTCTAGAAACTCCAACATTCCGAGTGACCAGCCATCAACTGTCTCTAGCAAGACCAACCTGTGTGGCTCAGTCAACCACAGTTACACAGGCCTCGTTCTCGTTGCCGACACCAAGTGCCAGCCACAGCCAACTGGTATGTACACAGTACACAAGATGGTCACGTAGCATCCCGCTCCGCTCCGCCCTGGTCCCCGGCGGAGCGCCGTGGGGTCGGAACAAAATGTCATCGTCCCCGACGCGGAGGGGGCAAGGAAGCTATCCCCGGCGGGGGAGTCCTTGCCTCCCGAAGCGCCGTAAGCGAAGCGAGAACAGTAGCTCCACCACCAAGCACCTCTGCACCCCTGAACGGACCCCTAAATTCGTCTCATATGTATCCCCACCCCACCCGGGTCGAGTCCAGCGCTGCAGAAAAAGAAATGAGAAAAATGGAAGATCTTGCAAACCCATGTGCGGGAATATCAAGCCATCCTCAAATATTTAATTTCAACATTTGGTCCGATGGTGTAGTTGGTTATCACGTCAGTCTAACACACTGAAGGTCCCCAGATCGAGCCTGGGTCGGATCACATTTATCTTCGTTTTTTTGCCTTGTCTCCCTACTTTTCCCCCCGGTCTTTTTGATTCTTCTTTACTTTGATGACATGTGAAAACACCCACATCTGTAGACTGGTGATGCCCGTTGGAGATGTAATTTCATGCATGCGCGCACCGGTCACCGGGCTTCACAGTCGCACCTGTTAATCGGTGAAAGAGTGTCTTAACCGGGCATGGCAATTTGACAGATCACCTGGTAGTATTCACTGCTACAATAGCCTCCGCTTTGATCGCCCTGATTCCCGCTCTTGTTCGCTTCTTGATGTTGTCCGGTTCAATAGCTAGATCATTGCAGAACGTATTCAAGTTGGATGCCCAACTGTGCCCTCTCACCGCAGACATCTTCAACTTATATCCTTTCCGCGGTTTCAGTTGCTGACAAAATGGCATTTCACCATCAAGATCGCAAAGACCTTCATCGCTTTCCGAGCGAGCTACTATCTCGTCACACCAACCACCACTCCGCCATCAAGAGGAACCGCCGCCATTCCCCCTTTTGGCAAAAGTTATTCGCCGGATCATCCTCTGTCGCCGCCGTAACCCTCCTCCTCCTCCTATTACTACCCGACCAAACCCATGGCCGCCAAACCCCCACCCACTCCTCCCTCTCTGAACCACCCCCCCTCACCTTCTCCCCCAGGGGCTTGACCAACACCTTCCAAATCTCCATCTTCGAGGACCTCCACTTCGGCGAAAACGCCTGGGAAAAATGGGGTCCCCTGCAAGACGCTTCCTCCATCCGGGTGATGAACAGCGTGCTTGACTCTGAACCGTCAACAAACCTCGTCGTCTTGAATGGGGACTTGATCACGGGCGAAAATACCTTCAAGGAAAACAGCACAACGTATATCGACCAAATTGTGGAGCCGATGGTACGAAGAGGGTTGACGTGGGCGAGTACGTACGGGAATCACGATAGTGCATTTAATCTTTCGAGGGAGGCGTTGTTTGAGGAAGAAAAGAAGTGGCTGAGTTCGCGGACGGGGAGGATGGTTACTACTAATGAAGAGGCGGGGGTTACTAACTATTATCTCCCCGTCTACCCAGCGCGTTGCGAGAACATCAACCCGAAAGTAGTACGGCGGAGGGCGCGGCAGCCATGGTATCGATGGGCGTTTTGGAACCTTGTCCACATCAACCACTTCTACCCGAACCAAAACCAAAACCAAAACCAGCAGACAGCCAGCGGCGGCGAATGCGATACCCCAGCCCTAATACTCTGGTTCTTCGACAGCAGAGGCGGGAACAAATACCAGCAGCGGCACCCCAAGACGGGTCAACTCCTCAGCGAGCCGAACTGGGTCCATCAATCAGTAGTAGACTGGTTCATATCCACCAGTGCTTCCATGGCAGCCAAAGCCGGAGGAGGCGGAGCTGACGGAAAAGGAAGAATAATCCCGTCGATAGGATTCGTCCACATCCCGACCAACGCTTCCTTGGCTCTCCAACAAGGCCAGCAAGGACAGCAGCAGGGAGGTGTAGATGCACACCGTCAACCGGGAATCAATGACGATCAGCCTCTTTCGCAGCAAGGACAAGGGTGGTGTGCAAATGGGGAAGACGGCGAGGGCTGTGGTTATGGTGAGCAAGACGTCCCCTTTATGGAAGCTATCGCTTCGATTCCCGGCATGATGGCACTCTTTTCTGGGCACGATCATGGGAACACGTGGTGTTATAAGTGGGATGGAAAGGTTCCTGGTGTTCAGCAGAAGGCTGTCGTCGCTGGGGAGGACGACGAAGGAGAAGGGGAAGGAAACGGACATGGATATGGACGTGGACGTGGAATAGACCTCTGCTTTGGCCAGCACACTGGCTATGGAGGCTATGGTAGCTGGATTCGGGGTTCTCGTCAGATCGTGGTTGATCAGGAAGGTCTCAAGGAGTTTGCTATCAGAACTCATATTCGGCTGGAGAATGGTGAGATTGTGGGGGCTGTCACGCTGAATGCGACATATGGACAGGATAGATATCCTGCCACGCCTAACGATAAGACGCATTTGGCGGATCCGGCGTTGCAGGAATTTCGATGAGAGATACCGACTCCCGTATGGATTTCATTTATTGCTTCTTGTTAACGAGCGGCGATAGTACCTATATATCCAATCCCGATGTTACTTCACGAACCCAAATCTCAATCTCAGCCTCGCTTCTCGCAAACATCACAACATCACTTATTCATCCGCATCCAGAACATGCCATCCAGCGTCCAGCTTCCCTGTCGTCTTCTCCACTCACCCTCACTCCGACGGCTTATTGTCAACCAAGGTGACCTCGAAGCTACTCTTCCCCGTCCTCTTCGACTTCAACTGCTTCGGCCAATTCTCATTCTCCACCACATCCACCTCGTTGTTGTCCTTGTTCCACTCAAAATACACCGATCCCACAGCAATATAAACCCCGGAATGCTCATCCCTCACATACACCGCCGCCGTAACCGGCGGTCCTCCCTCTGGCATAATCCCGACCAGCCCATACTCGTCTCCATCATTACTGTAAAGCAGCACGGTCCCGACGTCCCTCGCATCCACCTTCAAGCTGTACTGCTTGTCCGCCCCTCCCGTGGCGTCTTTGAACAGGAAAGAGACGGCGCGGGTGTCGTCGTCGACCACCCGGAAGCGAGACAAACCGCCAATGTCCGAGATGTCAGCCTGGGATGTTGTCCATTCCCGGTAGTGGCCTGTTTCGTTGTAGTGCTGCCAGGCAATGACCTTTGCAGAGGCGCCGACGGCCACGGAGAAGTACTTGTCGTTAAGAGAGCCAGGGACTGAGACGTCTTGGCCTACGGCGTAAGTGTCGCCGGAGCCTTCGAAGTTCTTCTTCTGGTAGAAGATGACCTTGGTAGGATCGACTGAGGGAGCCATGTTTTTGTTGGGTTAGAAGGTGGTTGGTTGGTTGGTTGGTTGGTTGGTTGGATGGATGGCTTGGGATTGCGAGAGTGTGATTTGTGAAAGAGATTGGGTTGTCTTGTGTTGTCTGTCTGGTATGTGTGATGATGCCGAAGAAGAGAATCGAGGCTGGGAAGAGGTTGAAGAGGAGGTATTTATAGGTTTTTCGTACCCTTGAGACACCCTCAGTCGAGCTGGAGAACCGGGTTGGACCCTTCTCCGCGGTGATCGAGACTTGCGTACAATGCCGTGTCCTCTTCCCCGGTACCCATTTGGTTGGCCTCCTCGATGGTGACTGGTGTCCCGCTCTCACCCACATGTTGCAACTCTCCAACCTCAAAGTAGTTGGCTGCCCATCGTTCAAGCCTCCCGTTTCTCTTGGAGCTTCATGTCTACGTACTCTCCCCGCACGATTCCCTAGCCTTGACACCACGCCAACTTCCAATGAGACAGCTCCGTCAAGCGTCAATGTCGCCTCACGACTCAGTAATTGGATCTTGTCGCATCATCAGTATCACCACTGCGGTTTCTTGCCGCCAAGTTGGCGCGACTCCTCAACCACGGATCATCACACAAAACGCAGCCGTGCCCGTATCCCCCGTAGTCCGGAAGCTTGCATGTCGATCGGCATACACGATGACAATCCTTGTAGAGGGCAAGGTGGGAAGGAGGAGGGGGTGAGGCAAGGCGATGGCCGGCAGATGATGTTCCCCCACGATACCGAACACACTGTACGTCCACTTGTCGTAGAGTCGGCCACAGACTGAGTACACAGAGCCGCTCATGTCCTTTTGTGTCTCAGGCAAATGGATGGAAAGCTACTAAGTAGCCACTGGCTGTATATGCGGATTGTGTTGAGCTGATAAAAAGGAAGTTGACCAGACTGGAACTCCACCCTTGGCTTTGGGGACCGGATCACACCTAGTATCCAATACCAAGGGGAGGTGAAGGCATCACAACTGGGCCAAGTACCCTGTGTCCACAGCCTGTGCAGTGCACCTTCCATAAGCGTTCGTAGCAAGGGGGCAGGCGTGCCTGATTGACATTCTGTATCGAGTAGACCTTTCCATGAAAGGCATTGTCAAGACCACAAGCTGATTTGTTAAAAGGGAAGACGTGGCGTGGCGTCAGTTTCATTACCTCTCCGACTCGGCAACATCAGGTACGGGTTAAAGTGGTGTACACGAAGGTCGGCTCGTCGGGTACGAGGGTACGTACGGGTAACGGGTCCTCCCGTCCATTACAGTAAGGTAGCTGCGTCGATCTGGTAGGCGCGGACAAGGGCAGGATCGTGGGGAAAAAAAGGGGTGGCCAAGGGGCATCCCTTCCATAGGGTACAGTAGGTTTGGCGCCTCGCTAATATAGTGGCAGGGTAGTATGTATGTAGCTGCTTCCTAAACAAGACATACACACATACACACATACATAGGTACCTTGACTTAGGCGCACAAACGACGGCAGTGGCGACTGGCGAGGCGCCTCGATCAGAAAGAAAGAAAGATGGAGCACACGTCATGGCATGAGGGGGTAAGAACAGTTCCATCGTGAGTTTTCGCGGGCGAATCATACAAGAGAGGAAGGGGGAGAGGGGATTCGAGTTACTACCGTGACGTAGAGGTAGTCATCTTACTGGACACTAGAGAAATAACCAAGTATATACATACTCGACGGCAGTGGAATGGTCACACCGCCATAAAGCCCGCATAGGCCATAAAGCTCAAGAAATGTTTTTGTAAGGACCCTTCTGCTTCCTGAGTGAGACATGCATGCTCAAGTTCAACAGTCTGCAGCGGCATAGCTACAGAAGAAGATCGGTATTAGGTAAATTGTACAACCGACTTGGGCGGCACAAGCGATGGGTTGGCTTTCCCGTGGGGGTTATTGCTACGACTAGGTGCAACTGAACGTAATTGGTACGCCAGCTTGCGAAATCCACTTGGACTTCACACGGAATAACTCAGTTACACAAGACTAAGCAGAAATGCCAGGAGGACAATGTGCAAGTTTATTGGCTGTGTTGGTTGCTTGAGGTCGGGTACAAGTCCATAGAGTGTTGAAGCTGGTTGTCAGAAGGGAGTACTGTATCCAGCCGGGGGGTGGGCAGAGTGTAGGATTCGGGACTGGGAGAACGAGCAGAAGAAGGGTAAAGACAAAGTATCGGCTATCGTCGAGACTCATCACTGCTGCAAGTCAAAAGAGCTGCTTTCTCATGGTAACGGACGACAACCGGCACTCGAGTATAAGTCGTCCAAAAATTGGGGTATCTATTGAATTCTGTTCAGATCTACAAATCCTCTCAGTTTCCCGTGCCGTTCCTCTCTACTGTTTCTCTTTCATCTGTCTAGAAAAGATCTCTCATCAGTCATCATCCATCAGGCGCAACATTATCATTTGATGGGTCTCACGAGAAGATAACGCAACAAGGAGTGCCCGTCCGTCACCCTACCTCCCTGCTTTTTTGCTCAAATGGGTGGGTATTAGTCGTGACGAGACCCCTTTCTCCCGTGAGGTGCCCGCCGAGAAGTCTCTTTTTCCTTTTTCTTTTTGGTCTTTTTTGTGTTTTTTTTGTTTTCCTTTCTTTTCTTCTTTTTCTCTTTTGGGTTTGCTTCTCCAGGTCTCATCCAAGGACTGTGATGCGTGCGAGTAGCAAGCCCCATTCACAAAAAACAGCAATGATGTTCTTCGGGGCAAGTGCTGTAGGAGCTAGCATCACGGCCAGCCGTCCAAGAATATAGCTCTCGGGTAGTGGTGGATATCAGCAAGGGCCCGCTGAGCAGCAACCTGTGTCTTTGCTTCCGGTGCATGGGCTCTCTCTGCCTGAGACATCCTGCTCTAGCCGCTCTTATGCCATGCGTATGCATCAGTTGGCAAAGATTCTGACGTTCAAGTCAACGCTTCCTGTCGCAATCACGCAACGGATCTGAGCCTCGGGATTGGCAGCCGCTCCTCCCTTCTTTGGCGTCCCGTTTGGTTCCCCATGTTCACCGTTCACCGACGCATCCTTGATAACCGACGGGGCCCATTTGATGCACTGGACGAAGTGGCCATGCGCATCCCCGATCGTCTTGACGCATTTTCCTTCTTGTGTCAGATCCCAGCACCGAAGGGTCTTGTCATCGGATACAGATAAGAGGTATTTCCCTCCAGGATGGAACACCAACCCTCGCACCCAGTTATCATGGCCGACCAAGGTTTTGATGCATGTCCCGCGCGCATCCCATAACCGGATCGACTTGTCTCGAGAGCCCGTGGCCATAAACTCGGCAGAGCTTGTCGCAGGGGGCTTCTTGATACCGGCCATGGCGGCAAGGTTCTGATATGCGGCCGGAGGTGCAATGGCACAACATAGCACGACATGCTCGTGGCCGATCAAGGTCACCTTGGGCTCGGGGTTTGTTATCGTTACATCCCATAGCCTGCTTGTGTAATCGTCGCTGGTGGAGAGTATATATTTCCCGTCGACGGATGGACACACGTCGCGCACCCACTCGGCATGGCCGCGCAATGTCTTGACGCAGTACCCTGTGCTCACGTCCCATATCCTTAGTGTCTTGTCGCGACTTGCGCTAACCAGAAGGTTACCAGAACCAGGGATGAACCGCACGGCGCTGACGCTGTGATCGTGGCCGGGTAGAGTCCGAATGTTTTTATACGAGTCTAGGGGGTCCCAAAGCTTGATAGTTAGATCTGAGCTGCACGAAGCTAGCAACGTGTTCCCGCGGGGGCCGCCATAGTCGACGTCGAGGACAGCTTTTGTGTGGCCCTTGATCGTCCTCTCTAGCTCGCCTAGCTCCCAATCCCAGATCTTGATGGTCTGATCCTCTGATCCGGAAGCTAGAGACGAGAAAACAGGGTGGAACGCTACACAGGTTATGGGGTCTCGGTGTGATTGAAGCGTGTGTCGAGGAGGTGCTCGGGGTAGCCAGGCGACAGGGTCTTTGTTCTGTCGCGATGTAGGCGTCGCATTGTCGAGCTCTGACTGTAGGATATGATTTCGCGACTCGAGATCCATAATCTGTATGTGGCAAGGGGGTAAGCGGCTGGTAAGGGGGAAAAAAGAGGGAGAAAGGGTTATTTGGCGGTCGGACAGCGGACAGGATGCGCACCTTTTTCTGCAGTCGGACAACACTAGTCCATTTCTTTTCTAGTAGGCCTTCATACTTCTTTGCCGTAGCTGGATCAAAAACCTCTTCGCTTAGGTTCAGCTCTTCTCGGAGGGCGGCGGCGGTGTTGGGCAGGTTGGCGGCAGTGAGGTATGCGATGAGGGCTCTGTGTCTGTGGGGTTGGCGGACAACAAGTTAGCCATTGACTCGACTCGACTACAGACAAGTAGTAGCAACCTACAGCTCATCGGCCTGCCGAGAGGTCAATATTTGGGACATGGTTGCCAGCCAAAGGAGGCGGGTCAGCTAAAGGGGCGTATCTTGGGAGGAAATGTGGTGTTTTGGTTTGTCGCGGAGTCGGGATCGGTGTCGGTCCGTTCGTTTGCCAGGACTTGACCGTGTCCGTGTCCGTATCGTGGCCACCTGCCGCGTCGCCCGAAGGGTAGGTACAGTTATCGTGCACGTTTGTTGACTTGTTTATACGGGGGAGATCTTGATCGCGATGCCTTAGTGTGACGGAATTGTTTGGCAGCTCAGGACTTTATACTCCATCTCGGTGGAGGCCCGGTCCTTTCGGTCAGGTAGCGGGATGGGGGGGAAGCAGAGAGCTGGCCACGAGCACTCCAAGCTACCTCTACTAAGTGTTTGAGCGCGGGAGAGCTGCTCCTTTGGGTGCTCACGGTAGTATGTAGCAACGGGAGTAGTGAGTCTGGTGAGGTCGGCGGCGGTGTTGTGGAGGTCGGGTTACCGTGTAGTAGTAGTTGTTGTGATGTTGTTGTTGCTGTTGTCCTGGTTGCATGTGCCAGCTGTCGGGCTCTCTTTCTTCTTTCTCTCCTCGCTTTGATCCCGGATCCAGATCCAGATCCAAATCCA